CCCTGTAGAGATGAGGGCGAGCAAAAGCAAAGGAATGTTTATCGCAACAGCTGAAAAGAGCAGGTGGTGGTAGCTAAAGCTAACCTAAAGTTCGTCTTTTAGATCCTCCAATCAGCCCAGCAGATGGTAACAGTATTTACTCCGTCCAAGTCTTCCGACTAATATACAGGTTTGCCCATTCTTAACAGGAATTTTCAGCAGAGTTAAGTATATATGCTTTTGTAGTATTAATAATTATCAACAATAATATTATTTGTTAAAAAAAATTAATACTGGATTTAAATGCTACAGTTGTTGGTGAAATTATAAATAAAAAAAATGGACTATCGTATTTATTCGTTTGTGAAGTTGAAATTAAAAAAAAATCATAAATCATAAACGAAAAACGATATCAACTTAAAATGTTCACGAAAATCAAGCTCTATAAGAGGACGTAGCCTATATATAAAAATAGGAGGTTGAAATTAAAAAAAGAATAAATCAAAAACGAAAAGCGATATCAACATGATATTTTGTAAAAATCAAGCTCTATTGATTCTGAAAAAAATCTGATTAAAAATGGGGATTAAGGGGTCTGTTAAACTGTGAAGAGTATAATATAGAATGCCAAGCATTATATATACTCATTAGAGTTGATTTGATAAGTTTTCAGGAAAAATAAAAAATCAAAACAAGAATAATAAACTTTGATATGATCTAAAAATTTCTATGGAACATCCTGTATAAAATTAGATAAAAGCTTTCGACTTCAGTTTTATGGAAATCTACACCGGTAATTGGAAAGAATGTATACAAATATTCTACTGATAGCCCGACTGGATAACAGATATTTTAAAAGTTTAGAAAATATAAATTCTTCTGAAGGTGTGGGAGCGTAGAAGATATTTACCTAATTTACATATCATGTATATACGAAAAAACTTTTCATTAATTATTAATGAAATAATTATTTTCTAATTTTACACAGTTGTCGATATCGTATGACAAATTCACTTATCAGTGACTTTATAATACGGACAAACATCGAATTGATGCTAAAACTAGAATGAAGATATATAATAATTGGAATTCTACTCTTCAAAGACCCCTCTAACCTCCCATTTTTAATTAGATTTTTTTTCAGATTCAATGGACTCTATCCCCTTAGAGAGCTTGATTTTGATTAAAAACTAGCTGTTGTCCGCGGCTTCGCACGCGTGGAGTCGTGTTTTTAGTATAAAAAAATGCATGACTTCCTAAAAAAAGACGCGATAATATGTTGTTTTACTGTTTACGGTATGTTTGTATTAGTATTATAGATTAATGTTAATTAGGCTATTCTAATATTTAAATATATTAATCTAATTGATAATCTCATTTTATACCACATTTCTGGTACGGATCTCATTTGCTAATATCACCAGATTGCACGCAGTACTTATTTATTTTTATTTATTTTTATTTATTTTTATTTATTTTTATTTATTTTTATTTATTTTTATTTATTTTTATTTATTTATTTTTATTTATTTTTATTTATTTTTATTTATTTTTATTTATTTTTATTTATTTTTATTTATTTTTATTTATTTTTATTTATTTTTATTTATTTTTATTTATTTATTTTTATTTATTTTTATTTATTTTTATTTATTTTTATTTATTTTTATTTATTTTTATTTATTTTTATTTATATTTATTTATTTTTATTTATTTTTATTTATTTTTATTTATTTTTATTTATTTTTATTTATTTTTATTTATTTTTATTTATTTTTATTTATTTTTATTTATTTTTATTTATTTTTATTTATTTTTATTTATTTTTATTTATTTTTATTTATTTTTATTTATTTTTATTTATTTTTATTTATTTTTATTTATTTTTATTTATTTTTATTTATTTTTATTTATTTTTATTTATTTTTATTTATTTTTATTTATTTTTATTTATTTTTATTTATTTTTATTTATTTTTATTTATTTTTATTTATTTTTATTTATTTTTATTTATTTTTATTTATTTTTATTTATTTTTATTTATTTTTATTTATTTTTATTTATTTTTATTTATTTTTATTTATTTTTATTTATTTTTATTTATTTTTATTTATTTTTATTTATTTTTATTTATTTTTATTTATTTTTATTTATTTTTATTTATTTTTATTTATTTTTATTTATTTTTATTTATTTTTATTTATTTTTATTTATTTTTATTTATTTTTATTTATTTTTATTTATTTTTATTTATTTTTATTTATTTTTATTTATTTTTATTTATTTTTATTTATTTTTATTTATTTTTATTTATTTTTATTTATTTTTATTTATTTTTATTTATTTTTATTTATTTTTATTTATTTTTATTTATTTTTATTTATTTTTATTTATTTTTATTTATTTTTATTTATTTTTATTTATTTTTATTTATTTTTATTTATTTTTATTTATTTTTATTTATTTTTATTTATTTTTATTTATTTTTATTTATTTTTATTTATTTTTATTTATTTTTATTTATTTTTATTTATTTTTATTTATTTTTATTTATTTTTATTTATTTTTATTTATTTTTATTTATTTTTATTTATTTTTATTTATTTTTATTTATTTTTATTTATTTTTATTTATTTTTATTTATTTTTATTTATTTTTATTTATTTTTATTTATTTTTATTTATTTTTATTTATTTTTATTTATTTTTATTTATTTTTATTTATTTTTATTTATTTTTATTTATTTTTATTTATTTTTATTTATTTTTATTTATTTTTATTTATTTTTATTTATTTTTATTTATTTTTATTTATTTTTATTTATTTTTATTTATTTTTATTTATTTTTATTTATTTTTATTTATTTTTATTTATTTTTATTTATTTTTATTTATTTTTATTTATTTTTATTTATTTTTATTTATTTTTATTTATTTTTATTTATTTTTATTTATTTTTATTTATTTTTATTTATTTTTATTTATTTTTATTTATTTTTATTTATTTTTATTTATTTTTATTTATTTTTATTTATTTTTATTTATTTTTATTTATTTTTATTTATTTTTATTTATTTTTATTTATTTTTATTTATTTTTATTTATTTTTATTTATTTTTATTTATTTTTATTTATTTTTATTTATTTTTATTTATTTTTATTTATTTTTATTTATTTTTATTTATTTTTATTTATTTATTTTTATTTATTTATTTATTTTTATTTATTTATTTATTTTTATTTATTTATTTTTATTTATTTATTTTTATTTTTATTTATTTTTATTTATTTTTATTTATTTTTATTTATTTTTATTTATTTTTATTTATTTTTATTTATTTTTATTTATTTTTATTTATTTTTATTTATTTTTATTTATTTTTATTTATTTTTATTTATTTTTATTTATTTTTATTTATTTTTATTTATTTTTATTTATTTTTATTTATTTTTATTTAATTTTATTTATTTTCTTATTATTATTATTATTATCTTAAAAATATTTTTGGATTATTGCCTGGCAAATAAAAATGTATATTTTTTAAATATTTTTTTTATTTCAGTTTTAGAATAGTTTGGTATTATTTTATACAGAGTGTTTTGATACGTCTCAAATATGGCTAATTTCAAATTCATTTTACTCAATTTTTTCAAATGCAACACCATATATATTATTTTAGAATTCCTTATAAATTTACCTTTGCAACAACAGCCACATTTTAATTACTAACACATACACAGTGTGTTCCATCAGTGCTTAATTGATCGATAGCTGTTTTATTATTGGAAATACGAAAAAAATAATAATATAAAAGTTCTGTGACCATATTTAACAATTATTCTTAAATATACAAGGTGGTCCATAAACGAGGGGCTGACCAAACCTAAACATTTTTAAAGCAAAATACCCTGCAGGTAGTTATACATATTTGATTGTTTTCACATCGTCAAATTTTAATATAGGCTTCATTCATTTGCTATGTTGTATATAGGGTGTTAAAATTCGAGGTTACGCTTTTTTTAATTTTTTTAATGGAATATTCTGTATATTATATCTCCAATTAATTAATACAGGGTATTCCATTAAAAAATTGAAAAAATCGTAACCTCGTGCTTTGACGCACCTTATATAACATAGCAACTGAATGAAGTCAATTAAAATTGTATGGCGATGTGAGAATAAATATGTATAACTACTTTGCTTTAAAAAAGTGTAGGTTTGGTCAACACCTCGTATATTTAAGAATAATTGTTAAATATGGTCATACAACTTTAATATTAAAAATTTCTTCGTATTTCCAACAGTTATCGATCAATTACGCACTGATGGGATACCCTGTATATGTGTTATTGGCTAACATGTTGGTATCGTTGGATAGGCAAATCTATAGGGAATTTATGCTAAAATAATATACAGGGTGTTGAATTTAAAAAAATTGTGTAAATTGAACATAAAATTAGCCATATTTAAGACATGTATCAAAACACGCTGTATAAAATAAATCAGTTCTATCAACACTATTCGTTAGCTTAGTATCTTATAAGTCTGTACATTAAACAATTTTGAAATCAATATAAATCTACCTAAATTATGATAATTTAATTTGGAGTATGCATCATTCTCTAATTTCATAAAAAAATGCTTGGTAATCCTGCAATATTTAAAAAAAATCTAGGGTTGAATACAGTGTTACCAAACCATTCTAAAACTGAAATAAAATACATTCAATTTATAAAATATATATTTTAATTTGCCAGACAAATCTGCAACACCATGTATATCCAAAAATATTTTTAAAATACGTATTTTTTAAATCCATTCAACTTTTATTTGAAACTTTTTTGCGTGTCTATAACACAAATTAAAATAATGAACAATTAGGCACTAATGGGACACCCTGTATATACAGGAATTTCTATATTAATTAACTGTTTTTAATCCTTTTATTTTGATAGAGGCAAATATCTTACACAGCACAAATAATAATAAGATTTCGGCCATAAATGTAATGGTTAACTTACCCATATAAAAAAGCTGCTCCTGCTATACCCCCTCCGCATTGGGCTAACATGAACATGAGAGTTCTAAGGATAGATATCCTTTTTATTACTCCCATGGCCAAGGACACCGCTGGATTAATATGTGCACCTATAAAAAAATATTGTTTCAAAAATTCACTTTTTAATATTATTTTATTTTTATATTAAACCAATTTATATTTTATATTTCCCCTGGAACATCGAAAAATACAAAGGAATAGTCCTCAGGTAATTCTGCCCGTCATAAACTGCGACAAAGGGTCAGAGAGACACCTTTCGCCGACCTTAGGGCTCAAGCTATTATGTCAATATCCGTTATTATGTTATAAAACTTAATTTAAATACAACCTTTAATTTAGTCATATTTGCAGAAACAATGTTTATTTAGTAGTTAATTTACTACCTCTTTAACAAATTTTTCCTTTTTCTGTTATTTTTTTATTTTTTGTTTTTTGTTTTTTTGTTCTTTTTGTTTTTATATGGTAGGTACTTCCAAATTTCAATAGAAAATAAGTATATTGCTTGTAAAAGTTATTTATTCACTTTTTAAAAAGTAAAATATTACTACTTATGTCCCGTTAGATATTTTACAGATCCAAAAATGTGTGTAAAAGAAAATTATGTCCCGTTAGATATTTTACAGATCCAAAAATGTGTGTAAAAGAAAATCTTTTAAATATGTACAAATAAATATATGATTTATATTTTAATGTTTTATTAGTGCCCATATACATTACTACTGATACTATACATTATTGGTAAATTGACTATATACTTAATTAAAGAAATTATATGTGTGCAATCTATCATAATTAGTTGTTATTGAAACATTATTCGTTAATACCACAACGGGTTATAAAAACATCTGCTTTTTGTGAATATGCATTCAATAATATTAATAAAGTAAGTTTAAAAAGTTTTAATTGGTATTAATTGCTTCTAAATGTATTTATTCAAAGAAATTCCAAGAAGAAAGAAAATGTACATTACATACTAATTAACTAAATCTAACTAAAAATATTTGTTAATTAATAATTAATTTTTTTATATTCTTTAGCGCATGACCAAATGTTTTTTAGCATTATTTTTTATATTATATTTTAGTTTATTTTTCAGTTTTATTAATTAAAATATAAAAAGATAAACATTTTTATGAAAAATAAATTAATGTGGCATAGAAGAAATTTAATTGAACAAAAGCTTGTTGAGTTAATTAGACCTTAAAGCACTTTTAATAACAAAAATAACTAATAAATAATTCAAATAACATCTTAAAAGATACTTGAAAGTGTTAAAAATCAAAAAATGTTCCTTAAAATTTTCTCAAAGGGCGCACAAAGTAACAATATTTTTTTTTTTTTTTTAATTATAAAACTATAACAAATATATTTAATTATCTTTGAAAATTCAAATGAGTGATTTGAAGCGTAGCTTTAATAAAAAAAATCAGTAGTATTTTGTAAATGTGTAAAAAAAGAAAATTACCAGAAATATGTCCGAAACACTGAGTCAAAGAAGTCATGGCAAATCCTGAAGCCAAGGCAGTGGCAAGAACAGGAGAAGAGGAAAAAGGAGCCCCAACACCGGATCCTGCGGCAGCTCCACAAACAACGAAAACATAAATAAAAGACGACAAACACTCCGAAATAACTGATCGCCAAAATTCAAGAGTCCGAATTTCCACTTGTACTGGAATTTTTGAGTTAACCACAGTTTTTACAGTGTCAATACGCATTGTTTCTAATTTTTCAAACATTGTCACTAAATGGTATTCGATATTTTGGTCACATTGCAAACTTTGCTCAGCCATGGTTGAGGAAATTTTAATAAAAACGTCTTGGTTAAATAATTACAGGCCCCGGCGCATACTTTGATTATGTGGCCTTAACCGCGATAAAGGCCGAGCGAAGAGTAAAGAAAACATTTGAAAAGAGGTCCATGTGGCGCTTCTCCAGCATACATTAAAATGCAAATGTGCCCAGCCAATGAGAACACTCGGGCACCAGCGGGGGTGTGGCCTATATGCCGCCAAATTCAAAATTCCAATTTATGTCAATTTCGTTAAGGAACTTGACATTTGGCGCTTTTACGGTAATTAACCTAACCTTAGATTTCAGATTTCGTTGTTTTGGTGAATTGGTGATATTCACTGATAATCTAAATCTATAAATCTTATCATTGTACCTACAATTTTGTTGAGTGCATATTAGAGTCGAAAAAAATAAATACAACAGCAGTTCTAATTGCTAATTTTAATATTTACGACATTAACTAAGTTGGTTTAGTTTTATAGTGGTTTTGAATTTCAATAATTTATTTACTTAACGTTTCAGCATTTTTAATTTTGAACATAAACTAAATTTATTTTGCAGTTTACAGCAAGAAAATATGGAATCACAGGGGAGGTAATTATTTTTTATATTGTGACATTTTCAAGATAAGAATATTAAGATTATAATATAAATTTATTTTACAGCCAACAGAATGTGATTTGTGAATATTGTGAAATTGAATTTTCAAGTACATCTACAAGAAACAGGCACTTAAGGAAATTTCACCCAAAATCTACTGGACAGGGACAAAATAAACATATTATGTGTCCAATTTGTACCAATATGGAGAATTTTTCTTATTATAATTATTTAAACAAACATTTGGTTGATATTCACCATATATCTATTAAAGAATCTGTTTTAAATTTTAAGAATTTTGAAGAATTTACATCTTGGAGAGCACAGGAAAATAAGGAAGTTAATTATGCTTGTCAGACAAGAAACAAATTTAAAAATGGTGAAGAACGCTTATTTTACAATTGTAACAGAAGTGATTTCAAAGGTTGTATCAACTTTTACTTGTTAAATATATGTATTTCATAAATTTATTTTTAGGATTTAGTGGCTCATGTAAAGTACGAAATATAAAATCTGGGGGAAGTATTCGCATCCGAGGAACGTGCCCCTCAAGAATTCTAGTGAAAGTATTAACATGTGGTAATTAGTAGTATTCATTTAATAATTTTAATATTGTTAATTTTATTAATATTTTTTATTAGGATCAGTTCAAGTAAAATTTCTTGAAACTCATGTCGGACATGCAGATGAGCTAAGAACAAAGAGACTGTCAAAGGCTGAAGAAAATATTGTAGTTGGACAATTAACTGCAGGGGTGACAAACAACAGGATAATTCAAGATGCCAGAAAAATTCAAAATAATACAATAGAAAGAATAAACTTGATAACAAGAGGAGACTTAGCATATTTAATAAGGAAGTATAATGTTGACAAAAAAAGGGACGCTGATGATATGACAGCTACTGCTTTGAAAATTGAAGAATGGAACAGGCAAGGAAAAAACCATGCATTTTTATTCAAAAGAATTGGTATGTACATAAAAATACATTTAAAAATATGTAATTTTTATAGGGTTAAGGTTTAGATGGTGAAGGTATAGGTTGGGTTTTTATTTTCAGGTGAAAGTTACCCTGGATTAAAGGATGAAGATTTTGCAGTGGGTTATATGAATGGTGTTATGGAAAAGAAATTAAGGGACTTTAAAAGGATCATTTGTATTGATGGAACGCATGGAACAAACCGAAGAAATTTGGATCTTACAATACTTCTTATTAAGGATGAGAATAATATGGGATTTCCAGTGGCATTTTTACTTTCAAACAGGTTAGATCAAACAATTCAAGAAATTTTTTTTAAGGCACTTCAATCAAGACTGGGGGAGATACTTCAGACAGAATATATAATGAGTGATGATGACCCAAAATACTATAATGCATGGATCAAGGCTATGAATTTCTATGAAAAACCCAGAAGACTTCTTTGTTCATGGCATATAATCAAGAATTGGAACATCCAAGGTAGATCAAAACTTAAGAAGGCAGAAAATAGACAAGAAATGAAGAACAAAATGAAAAGAATATTAAAAGAAACTAATATTACAAATTTTATGGTATTAAAGGAAAACTATTTCAGGCATTTGGAAGAGGAGGATGAAAATGATTTTTTGAAATACTTACAAAAGTAAAGAATATAGCCTATATATATAAAAAAAAAAAAAAATCAAACAGTGATATTTGTTTTTAGCTACTATTTCCAGAGTGAAGAAAGGATCATGACATGGGCCCATTGTTACAGAATTAATGTAGGAATAAATACAAATATGGCTATTGAAAGTTTAAATAAAGTATTGAAATATAACAAAATGAGTGGACGACGTAATCTTAGGTAAAAATACTTTTATCACTTAGACAAAACGTGTAATGCAAAATGTTGATATAATAAAATTCAAATATGATTCAAATTTTTTTAGAGTTGAAAAGTTGCTGGATTTGTTGGATGAACTTGTAGATGAGAAGATGTGGAAAAAGATAATTAATGCTGAAAGGCCAAATGCAAATAATTATCAACACAAAATTGTTGTAGAAGCCCATAAAAAAGCAGAAAGTATGAATGATAAGGTAGAAGTTTTGGAATTTGGAAAATTCAAAGTGCAATCTTCAGTGAGTAATAAATATTATGTCGTGTCTTATAATGAAGTATGTGATATACAATGTCGTACTGGGTATTGTAATAAATGTAAAATATGTTTACATAGATATCAATGTCAGTGTCCAGAGAATGCTGTAAAAACAGTGCTGTGTAAACATATACATGCTGTAGCTTTGTTTGAGGAGAGAAGCGAGTCTGTTTTAGGTTCCTTAAATACTGGAGAGGATGAGGATGATGTTTTGTGTGTTGAAGAGCCTACAATTAGTCAGCTAAATTATCAAGATGATGTAACCCACTTTATTCAGGAGAGTTCGAAAATGGAAGTTAATAATTCAATAATTAATTTTGAAGAAAGGCGAGAAGTAGTTATATCCAAATATAATTTGTGTTTTTATTACATCCTATATAATTTGTAGATTGCATTACAAGAAATTTATAGCTTTGGTAGAAGTTTAGATGAAAATTCATTTGCTAGATTTATGACTGATTTCCAAAAATGTAGAAATAGAATGGTTTTGGAACAAGAGAACTGTCAGGGCATTAATAAAAAACGAAAAATTGAAAAACAGACATACTATCCAAATAAAAAATAAAACTAATATTAATTTTTTTTTAAGTTTTAGTCACTCTTGATTTTTGTATACAAGTATAACAAAGTGGATTGTGTTTTTTTCATATTTTGGATACTTTCTTTGTAGTGCTTTATTCTTATACTACTTATGGTTTTTGGTAAGGTTTTGGTTTAGGCTTCGGTAGATATGGTTTGGAAAGGTGAAAGTTTGTAATAAAACATTTTAATATTCTATTCTTCTTAATGTTGTGTATATTGTTTAAATTTTTAAACTGAGCCATGCCACCAAAATTATATTTCAGGTATTCTAGATAAAAATTACATTTAGTTACAAAAAAATTCCATATTTTATATTCAAGTTTTGTGTGCTATCAATATATTTTTTTACCGTTTTTTAGGGTGCAGAAGCTAATTGTCATTTGATATAAAGGAATGGGGGAAGGCCCCTGTGAGTATATTAGCTATTAATTTGTATACAGAACAGTAATTTAAATTTTTGTTTTATGTTTACTACAAAACTGTTGAATACGTTTGGACCGTGACAATGCGATGCCAGACCTAGAAAAGTTTCAATGTCTAATGGATATTAGATCAAAGGTTTACTTCTCGACATCCAGAAAAATGTATTGAACTTTATTTAACTGTTAGGTTATCATGTATAATATAACCATGCATCTTTTCAAAAAATATACATAATACATATTTTTTTTAATTATTAATTTTAATACATTTGTATTTAAATGTTTTAAATAAACCCAGTAAACATATGCTATTGTACCTATTCGTTTTTATTTTCCCTCTCATTGGTTTTATTTATTTAAAAATATATATATAAAAAAAAATAACTCACCATCAGTAAAGGTATCAAAATAAATATTAATTATTAATTCTAATAATCACATTCTATTATACAGTGCGTTCATAAAGTGTGGAAACTCTCCATTATCTTAAGAGTTCATTATTTTCGAAGGTCATATTTTGTAAGGTAGTGGAAGTAAAACTTATTTAAAAAAAAAGTAGAACTAAAAAAGTCCTGTTTTATCTCTACAAATAATTAACTCGTAAGATAATGGATCGTTTCCACACATTATGAACGCACTATATAATTTACTTTATGTGCGCAACGCAGCTCTTTTTTTCATAAAACATTTGAAATATTTAAATCCATCACAATACATACTTAAAAATGTGTCCTTAATACAAAAATTCCGCATAACTACATAAATTGGAATTTTGAATTTGGCGGCATATTTAAATCCATCATAGAACCTATTAAAAAACATTTCCATGGTACAGAATTCCGCATAACTACATAAACTGGAATTTTGAATTTGGCGGCACATAGGCCACACCCCGGCTGATGCCGGAGCGTTCTCATTGGCTGGGCACATTTGCATTTTAATGTATGCTCGCTTCTCCCACTACTCATCGTGGACGTCCAACCACATGCTGGATCCTCGTCGTCTTGTGACGCGAAGTATCCCTCTTTACAAACAGGGAAGTCGCGAGGTTGGAAGCGCCGCTACTTAGGAACTCTGTACCGTTATTAATTTCGGTAACGGTTATAGCAGAAGGGTGGCACAAAATGGATCGTTTTGGAAATTTGATCGTAAATACTTTTTATCGAATGACATTTAATCAAAAATATATTCAATCGAATGACATTTGTTGATATAAATGATCGAAACGACTATAGATAAAAAATTAATTAGATCGAAAGGATATATATATATAAAATCAACCATTTAAAAATTGTATAATAGAAAACTGACACTTAAAAAAGAAAATAGTATATTATTTAACGAGCGATAATGCAGGTCATAACTCACGCAGATG